GTTGCACCCGAAATGGAAGAAATCCCAGTAGATGAACCCGAAGAAATACCCGTCAACAATTTACAACAAGATGAAATTCAACAAGTGGTATTTCAACAAGAAGGAAACTTTGAGAATCCAATGAGTTTGCAACCAAATCGAAAGTGGCTAAGAAGTCACCCACATGACTTAGTCATTGGAAATCCGAGAGACGGAGTTAGAACACGATCATCTACAAGGGACCAACAAGATGCAATGTTCTCATGCTTTCTATCACAATTGGAACCGAAAGAAATTGATGAAGCTCTAGCCGATCCAAGTTGGATAGATGCAATGCAAGAAGAATTAGATCAATTCAAGCGCAACGACGTATGGGAACTTGTTCCAAGACCAACGCACCAAAATGTAATCAGCACCAAATGGGTCCTTAGGAACAAAGCAAACGGAGATGGCGTTATTGTTAGGAATAAAGCAAGATTATTCACAAAGGGGTACACACAAGAAGAAGGCATAGATTTTGATGAGACATTTTCCCCCGTCGCACGACTCGAAGCAATAAGAATTTTCCTAGCATATGTAGCCTACAAGAACTTCACAGTATATCAAATGGACATAAAGAGCGCATTTCTTAATGGCTTACTTGAAGAAGAAGTTTACGTCGAACAACCACCCGGATTTGAGGTAAAAGGCACTGGTGATCAAGTCTACAAACTCAAGAAGGCATTGTATGGGTTGAAACAAGCTCCGCGAGCTTGGTACGATACCTTGTCGATGTTCCTAATTGGTTGTGGATTCACCAAGGGCCTAGTCGATAAAACCTCTTTAAAATTCAAGAAAATGGTCATATTTTATTAGTGCAAATTTATGTTGATGATATTTATTTTGGAAGCACTAATATATCTTTGTGTGAGAAATTCTCTAAGCTTATGCAGAACAGATTCGAAATGAGCATGATGGGAGAATTGAACTACTTTTTGGGAGTACAAGTCAAACAGCTCAAAGAAGGAATTTTCGTGAATCAAGCCAAAAATACAAAAGATCTTATAAAGAAATTTGGGCTAGATGGAAAATCCTCAGTCAAAATTCCCATGAGCACTTCTCAAAAATTGGACAAAGATGACGAAGGCAAAGACGTTGATCAAATGATGTATCGAGGAATGATTGGATGGCTGCTATATCTAACCGCGAGTAGACTGGACATATCTTACTCAGTCGGAGTATGTGCGAGATTTCAATCGAAGCCTAAAGAAAGCCATTTGATTGCAACGAAGAAGATAATCCGATATTTAAAGGGAACAATCAATGTGGGATTATGGTACCCCAAAGAAGGAGATTTTACATTAACTGGTTATTCAGATGTAGATTTTGCAGGGTGTAAAATAGACCGAAAAAGTACCTCAGGGACATGCCAGTTCTTAGGGGGAAGATTGGTCTCTTTGTTCAGCAAGAAACAAAACTCCATAGCTATGAGCACTGGCGAGGCCGAATATATTGCAGCTGGGAGTTGTTGTGCACAAATTTTGTGGATGAAGCAACAATTGTTGGACTATGGGATTAAATGCGAAAATGTTAGTATTTTATGTGATAATACTAGCGCAATTGCAATAACGCAAAATCCAGTGCTTCACTCGCGAACCAAACACATCGACGTCCGACATCACTTCATACAAGACCACGTCGAGAAGAATGATTTGAAGATTGATCATGTTCCCACAGAAAATCAAATTGCCGACATTCTCACAAAACCGTTGTGTGAATCTCGTTTTGCAACTCTAAGGCACGAAATGGGAATGATCGAAATGAGCTAAGTGTTTCGAAACTTTTAATTCGAAAATGTGTGTACGTGCTTTGCATGAAATTTGTTACCTATGTGTTCTACGTGATTTAATTTGAGTAATGTGTTACAATTTATTTCTGTACATGTTAGTAATTTTATCTTACGAACTTAGGTACGTAGAAATTGGTTAATTGTTCTTAAATTGTGTAGAGCATATATAATTTAGGAGGAATATATCATGATAGTGGATTAAGTGAATATATGGTTTAGGGGGAATGTGCATGATACTAAGCTATGCTACAAATTGAAATTGATAACAGTGCATGCAAGTTGTAATGTCAGAATATACGATCATCAGCTTTATTTTAATTTTCACCTGCTTAAGTCAATTTGATGTGATTTTATTTAAAACTAGTATTTGCACCCGTGCGATGCACGGTCATAAATCTAAGAAGTAATACGTAAGGCCTTACAATTAAAAGTATAATTATTAACAGTTATTTTTGTTACACATTATTGAAAACTTCTTTATATACGACATTTGTAGTAGTATTTTTGGATTTTACATTTTCGTCACAAATCAACATTTTTAATCCGCTTGGATTACTAACCCTCGACACCGCTACATACAGTTGTCCGTGATTAAATACCGGCCTCTTCAAAAATAAACCGACGTTTGACAATGTTTGACCCTTGCCTTTGTTTATTGTCATGGCATATGACAACATTAGCGGAAATTGTTTTCTTTGAAACTTAAAAGGCAATCTTGGATCTGACGGTGTTAAAGACATCCTTGGTATTAAAACCTTTGTACCAGCAGTTGTTCCGGTCAATATTTGCGCTTCCAAAACATGTGTAGCCAACTTTGAAATAATCATTCTTGTGCCATTGCACAACCCCAATGAGTAATCAATATTGCTCAAGAGCATCACGGGTGATCCAACTTTTAAAGTCAATGAGTGATTAGGCACTCCAGAACATCGTAACCCATTTAAAAACTCCGGCGTGTGTAAATCCGCAAGCATGTCAACATTGGAATCCGATTTGCACACCGAATCATAGCTGAGATATGTCATTCCTTCGACAGTATTAAATTCATTCATGTATTCATTGATGTTATCTACCATTGAGCTGATTGCCCAATTCATTATTAGTATCATAGATATACAATTGCGCAAAATGTGGTCGTTTCCCGTCCACCGGCAACAGACTACCAATGTGGTGGAAGTTTTGTCCATGTATTCGAAAAACTGGTGGTCCACTGTTTTTGTTGACATCTCTATCTATCTTACCACCCATTGATGTAAAGCAAAACATGTTATTGTACGTCCTTATGTTGTTCAAGAAATGCTTGCTTTTTTCCCCCTTCAAAAAAAAGGTCATATATCGGCGGCGGGGGCAATTGTGCTGTTGGCAATTGAATCTTACCATTGTTGCAACACATTGTATATCTGGGTGTACCGTGAATCACCGTTTTGTTTATCCTTTCTGCGTGCCAAAAAACCGCCCCGCAATGTTGACATGTGTTATTTGGATCACCAAAATCATTGTATTCCACTACGTATAAAAATACAAAATAAATTATTACCATTACAAAATCATACTTAAAAACGTTTTATTTAAATAAATTTCACTTTGATACATACCTTTGCTTGCATATGACGGTTGTAATAGATTAGTCAGATTTTCTTCTTCTTCAACATTTTGATTGAATCCTGTATAGAACATTTTCAATTTATCACCATTGATTCACCTGTTTCTTTAAAATGGAGAATAACATCGCAATTACTACCGAAAAAAGTACCATTGGCTCTCCCGTCTATATTTGTTGATACTATTGGAATATTGGAGACTTCTTCAAACGCAATAGATAAATCTCTATTAAGCACATTCAATGCCTTTGGGTCTGCACTGAGCTGCGTGTCTTGTATGATGTTTCTGTTCGTATTGACTAACAAAAAAGTACATTATTTAAATATAATTCATAATATCGCCGTCCAATAATAATTATAAAAATCAAAAAAAGAAACGTACCATTTGATATTTCGGAAAGCGGTCGTCTTGTAGTTGTGGATTGTAATACTTGACCTTTTACCGTTAAAAACATGCAAAATACGAACGTATAAATTAACGAAGTATATATAAAAATACAGATACATTGTAAAACCTAATTTAATGTACCATTAGTTATGCCGCTACTTCCAGTATGGAAACCCGGGCTGCTGACTCCTAGTACAAATTTTCTGCATTTACTGTTGCTATTTGTACATTCCATATTATGAGCGCTTAGGTGTATACTGACAAATTCTTGTTTTTATAAAAGAAATAAAATACACATTAGCAAAAAAATTATACATACATGACTCTAAAAGAACAATACCATACATATTGAAAATTAAATTGTTTTGATTTACCATCCGTGACGCCAGTGTTTGGTGTTGCAGTTCTATTAGAAGTACAAATTGGTGTTCCTGCCGTGTATGAGTGCGTTTGATTCTCTTTTCCCACAACAGCCGTATTTTTTCCCAACTTGTTACTATGTAAATTTTCTGAAACATATTATAAAATGGGTTAGATAATATTCCGTCTTTATAGTAATACGTACAAAATAAACACATGACACAATACGACAACGTATTGTGTGGACCATGGTATACACAATGTTATGTGGACCATAACCTAAATACATTTTTAATATATAGGTAATGTACATTAATTTTGTACTTAATGTACATTACCTAAGATAATGTTTACTACATCTAATCAATAATGTAAAACACCGTGGTCCACACAATGTTATGTGGACCAATAACAAAAATACATTATTTTTGTACATAATGTACTTTACCTAATATAATGTATACTCAGTGCCACCCTAATGTACATCCGTTGAACTAAATGTATAAAACTTTTGTGCTGAGTATACATTTACTTCATATTGAATGTACATTATCTTATACTATACAAAATATGGTCGCAACAACTTTTATTGAGTATGGTACACACAATAATGATTGACAAAATGTATATTTAGCCTAGTTATATCAATCTTTGAATATATACTTAGCATATTGTAATAGACACATAATACATACTTAGCCAATGTAAACCAAAATCTATCAATATAAATTAATAAGCCCAGATTCAAGGAGCCCATACCGGACCCTATAACCCAAACCCGGACCCAATACCCAAACCCGACCCGCTTCTCCCTTTGACTACCCGGACTTGGCATTCGGACATCGTAGAACAACCACAATCTCTTAGCTCTCTCTCTCTCTAACACTCACTCCGATCGCATTCATCTCTAACCTCTTAGCTCTCTCTGTGTGTAACGCTATGTAAGATAGCTCATAAACACTCCGATCTTGTTCATGGAGCTCTAGTATTTAGGTTTTCAACTATATCTGTTTTACAATTTGAGTCTGACCGAAGAAATTTGTTTCTTCTATACACCCACCTCATATACACTGTTCGCACTTACTAATTTCTGTTCGATCTAGTGTTCAAGCTTCATTTCTGGTGTTTTAGAGTAATAGGTTAGAGATGAGTCAGTGTACTATTTGTGGTTTCTACCGGTGTTCGAGAACCCTAATATGAAGGTAACATTTCCCTTTCTTTTGTGTTTGTATACTTTTATCTGTGTAAATAAAGAATTTTAAGCATTTCTTAGTGTATAGATTTGTTCTACATACGAAATCGTTTAGGGTTTTTCTGAAATTCTAATCGTCATCTTTCTTTCAGGTCTTTTGTGAACAATCAGAGTAAGATTAGAGTATAACAATTGTGTTTTGGCTGCAAATATGTGTCAACAGTGTACATACAACAAAATTTGCGAAAGGTAATGCTTAAATTCTGAAATCTTATTGTGCTTAGGTTACCTGGAGTATTAATTGCCTGCTTCCTTTTGCTACCTATAATCGTAGAGCTGAGAATTTTCCGCATGATTACTTAGTGGATTTTCTTTGTGTGGTAAAAGTGAAACTTTCAATATTTGCACTGTCTGAGTATTTTCTGTTTAGTGGTTTTATATCAGTTGGTGTTTATTTGATTGTATTATTTGTCTAAAAAAGTGTGTTTTGTGTGCAAAATGAATTAGCAGTAATAATTGATATGATTGTTGAGTGTTTCTTGGGAACAGTTGAATTTGATATTAATGTTTAAATGATTTTATTTTTAGATTGCTAATATATTACTTGTGTAGTTTATCATATCATAGCCTTTATGAAGTCATTTTTGATTAAATGGATTTAGTAGTTTAACATTCAATTGGTGGCTTGACTGACAATATAATTGAATAGGCAAGTGATGAAATTTTTTTTCTGATGCCAATTTTATAGGAATCACAATAGTAAAGTTGTTTGGCTTTGCATTTTGTTATCTAAAAGCAGATAGTTGTATTGCCAAATGATGATGTTATAAATGTGATGGCAAAATGTATGGGATTTGTCCTGCTTTAGGTAATTTTGTTCAAATTTCAATTTAATTGGTTTTTAAATTCATTACAATATTTGGATTTATTTGACATTGTATATGTGGTATTACTAATCATTTAGTTTTATAGGCAAATGATGATATTCACAATCTGATGCCAAGTCTTTTGTTAAATATCTGTTTCTTAGATAACAAATACAATGTGAATTGTTTTTGTTTAGGGAATTAATTCCATATTTCATTTTAAACTTCGTTTCTAATCCGTTATAATTGTATAACAAATGTCTTTTTAAAATGACTTTAAATTCTTGATATGAGTTCCTTTATATGAAATTTTAAAAGTGGTATTACTAATCAGTTTTTTTGATAGGCAACTGCTGATCTTACAAACCTTATGCCAAAACATTTTCACTTTCTTTTTCTTAGATTAGTAATTGTCGTTTGTTTTTAGGGCTTTAGGGATTTACAGTAAAATGTAAGTCTCTTATTAGTCCATTTCTATGACTGTTTCAATCCAGGACTGTTTCAATTCACTTATAGGAGTCCAGTCGTATTTCCACAGTTAGTTATTTTATTTGCAAATGATGGTTGTATACTTTCCACAGTTAGTTCTTTTATTTGCAAATGATGAGTACAGATCTGTTTCTTACCTCTTGATGCAAGGTTATTTGTTTTGCCGGGCATATTTTAACAGATGAATGCCAGAATTATGTTTTAAATATCTGTTTCTTAACTATTGATGCAAGGTGATTTGTTTTTCTTTAGGAACTGAATTCAATATTTAAAATCTTTAACTCACAACAGAAAATGGAATCACTGTTTGTTTTTCCTTTAGCTTGATTTCATCTGAAAATTAATTTGATCTGAAAATATTTAGTCAACTTAGGTTTATTTTAGATAAGAATTGTGTGCTTGGATGTTACAGAGAACTTGCATAAATGTTTGTTTTCCCTTTAGCTTTTGTTTAAAAAGAAAAAATAAACAATAGGTAACATCATCTGAAACTTAATAATATTTTTGAACTGTAGTTTATTTTAAATAAGAATTGGTGTAGTTTAACCTTTCATCAACTTTTTTGTATGTTTAGCATTTGTTTTAGGTAAATGTAGATGACTAAATTCCACAATCTTTTATATATAAGATCCAACTCTATTAGAAATCTTAAGAATACTCAAAAAAATTACAACTACAAAAGACTTGCAACTACAAAAGACTTGGTAAAAATACAACACCAAAATACAGTTAGATACACAATACAATATATGATTGTGCTTTTAGCTGATTCCTTGAAAACTGGTAGCCTTCATTGCTGGTTCTTGATATTCAACCTGCATATAGTCACTTACACAATACAATACCAAAATACCAAAAAAAAAAAGCCAAATTACTCATAAACAGTTAGTTCAAAAACTGATTGTCCAAAAGCCATATCCAAAACCACAAAACCACACCAAGTTGGTCAATTGTCTTACACTTTATCCATTACAAACCAACAGAGCATGAATATCAAATTGTTTTGTTTTACAGTCCAACTTTAGGCTTCTTAACCTTGCCAGAAGAAGAGAACTCATCAAGTAGTGATCTCTTAACCACAGTGCATTCCTCCAAATCAGCCACAGGGCTCTGAGTCTGCTGAACAGTACTTGGGTTGTTCACCTCATTTTCACCATTGGATGCTTCCTGCAAATGGAAGCAGATATTTAGTGTTCACAGTTAGGCAAAAGATCTAAAAAAAATGCATACTAAAATAAATAGTAGTACCTGGTCTAATTCATCATCCTCCTCTTCATCCTCATCAATCATCTTAGATATAAGATCCTTCTCTTGGTTGTCTTTTAGCTTTGAACAGTAGGTAGAAACCAATAGTTCATCCCTCAACAGTCTCATCACAGTATAAGCTGGATTGGCTCCCCTCATTTGGTTGATTTTCAATGTAATCTTAAATATCATTGACAATCCAATAAGTGATTCCAACTCTTTGGGAATATCTGAAACCTATAACCAAAACAAATACATATTAGGAAAAGTTAAAAAAAAAATAGAGTGTGGATGTATTATCTTTTTTATAAGAAAGATATGTCTTTAGGATAGTGAGGTTACCTTGTTATATTTTTTGTAGAGGAGGTTAGCAGGATTCCTACCAAGTCTGAACACTCCCTATCCCATAAAAGGAAGGGAGCATCTGATAATCCTTTATCCATAACCCTCACAATTACCCTATATCTTGCCATTCCTTCCTTGAACTTTTTATCACAATTAGAACAAATTAGATCCTCACCATCTGGTTTCAGTTTTCTATTGCAACCTGAGGTTATGCAAGATATGTACATCCAACCAAAAGAACCTTCAATTCCTACAATTTGTGCAGGAACATAAAAATCTCCATCCTGCATTGAACCAAGAAATTGTTTAGTAGCATTGGCCATTAATTAGTATCACTGGTAAGAAATATAAAAATATAAGAATAGTAGAACAACTTTAACCTGTTTGTTTTTCAATAAATCACCAACTGAGGTGACAGTCAGAGCACCACTCCTGAATTCTGAAATCCTAGTGGACTGGGACATAACTGCACTTGTGGTAATACTTCTTAAAAGGACTATGAACAGTTGTTATCCTACAGAAACCCAAAAAATAAATAAATACAACAGTGTAGACCCAAAAAAAAGAATTAATACAGCACTGTAACCAAAAAAAAAAAATACAGCAGTGTTTTTCAATGTTACACAAAAATAATAGAAACTTACATAGATTTGAAATCTTCAACTTCCTGATAAGAGGCATTCAAGTAAAGCTTAGTAGCATCATAGGAACTTGTGATCCTGAGTTCACCTAATAAAACAACATAAAAAAAAAGTCAACAGTAAAGGATATCAGTAAGATTTTGGGGCAGCAGTAAAATAGAATCTAATATATATTAGGAATAAGTAAACATCTTACCATTTAAAATCTTTGCCCTGCATAGCTGAATAACCACAACAACTGGTTCTTTGAGATCTGAATTGTAGAATGGTAGCATGGAATCTACATGGTTATCCCAAACAGTGCATTTCAACTGATTTCCCCTGTATTGAAATGAGTTAGTAAAATGGAAATAAGATTGAATGAACTTAACACATAGTGTGTATGAAACTTACTCATTGTCTGCTATCTTGAAATCTATTAGTTTGGCTGGTTTCCCCCCTATTATTTTGTCTAATGGTGCATGATTCTCAATGACTCTGCCAATAACATCTGTAACACAACAATAGAAGATTATATAGCTTAAAAAATGAAACCTGCAAAGTTAAAAAATGAAATCTGCAAAGTAAAAAAATGAAATCTGCAAAAATTACTTACCAAACATGACTTTGTCATTCACTAATGTTGGATCATTAAGACATTGATAGGGTTTAAGCTGAAACATGTTGGTAGGAAACCCTCTGGATTTGATTGCCTTGACCTTGAGTATTGTAGTTCAACCTTATCATATACTGATGATCACAAGTCCTATACATATAGTACTGACTGAACACCAGAAATTTTTTTAGAGAATATAGCTTCCCTTCCTTGAACACATTCTTGTATTTGTCTACATCCGAGTTTTGCATGTTTACATGAATAAATGTTCCCTGTATTTCATGATAGAATAGTGAACAGATTTTTTAGTGTGAAAACAAAGAAAGGAAAATGTAACAGTGTGTACGAAATAGTGCTTACCTCTTCATCGCATACCACAACCTCTCTACTCTTCATTTGTTTCGAACCTCTCCTTTCAGGTATTTCATAAACTCTAACACACCTAATTCGAATGGCCCTCTCTCTATTTAGAGGGACAACATCTTTAACCAAAATATATTGACTTGGCATCTTAAAATATGCAGGGGTTTACAAATTGGTTTACTGCTTAAGGTTGATTTGGAACAATGGTGGCTGAAAAAAGTTTGAGACTGAGGTTTATATAGGCTCAAGAAGTGGAATTCAAAAGTTGAACCTACCATTATTTGCAGCCGGAATAGTGATGGAGACCTTTGAGTTTCCAAGAAATAAATCTTAATAATCATGCAGATTTTTTGGAAGCATTTATTTCAAATACATTTTTAAATCTGTATGTGTGTATCGGAAGGTCTTTACGTGTATATATGTAAATCGATTCAAGCAATCTTGGAAATAGATTTTATATAGGTTATGATTAGAAGTCTTACATAATTAGAAGTCTATTGAATATCCTTGGTAGCATAACATATTAGCTGTATAATTGTCCTTGGAAAGCCAAACGTTAATTGAACACCATCAATTCGCAAACTCTAATCTGCATACTCTAAACGGCGCCGTATGATTTAGGCGGGATAATGGTTGTAGTAGAAAGTTACTGCTTTATTATATTGATAGATTAGAAATGTATCTGGCATCATCTTTTAATTGAAACTTGCACTTATCTGTCTGATTAAATTTATCGGTCGCTCATATTTTCTCAGATTTATCCGATCACAAAATTAAATTGTTAGCGTGAATATATTTATTGCACTAACAATTATGTGTCGAAGAAATTTTTGCTCCATGAACATCTACAGGTGGCAGTTAATTGAAGCTTAATTTTTGGCGTCATGTACCTACAAATGGAGTATTAAAATCTGAGTTGGCAAATTTAAATCAGTGAAAGTTCGAAGTTGCCCTCATTTGTTGTACAATCTCTTTCTATCCACTAAAGGGAAAAATGGTAATTTCGCCTAGGCATTTATTTTGCCTCCAACGAGAGAGAAGAGGAAGAAAGAAGATCAACTTCCATTCTCCTCATTCTCACCGCCGGCCGAAGCAAAGAAGAAGAGAAGAAGCTCTAAAATCTTCCAATCCTACCCAACCCATCCCAAATCTTCTACATATATCTCTTCTACACTTAAATACCCATTACCCATCCTCACCATTAACCTTAAAACCCCTCACAACCAAAAACCCATCCCCTTCAACCCAAAATTTCGGACTGCCGAAATCACTACCCGAAAAACCACCTAAAATTTTCCCAAATTGTGTTCTAATTCAAGATGGAAGGAGCTCTCAATCAAATTGAAGCCGAAGGATCAAGGAAAATTACACAGGTGATTCGAGGGATGATCTTGGACATTGAAGATTTCAACAAGCATGTTCAAACCAAAGACTTGGGGGTAAAAATCTTAACCTCTCTTGAATCTAGTGGGTTATTGAATTTTTGCTTGTACAAGTATGATGGTTTTTAGTTGAATGAAGTAGTAGATTTTTATAAGCATGCATATGTCAAAAATGGACTTATAAAATCTACTTTTGGAAGTGTTGCATTATCGATTGGGTTAGATGATGTTCGAATCAAGTTTGGTTTGTTGGAGAAAGTCTTGAGAGTAGAAAATCATGGTTTTGATTTGAATACCTTTTGGAGTGAAATAAGGCACGAAACCGCACCGGTCGGGGCTTGCAATAATGGATATAAAGTGTTGTTAAGGCATGAATTTGGAATGTTGCTAGATATTGTGCATAAAATTATTGAATGCAAATATGCTAATAGGAATTATTTCACTAAGAAAAATTTGGTCTTGATGCATGTTATTTTGAATAATGTTGTCGTGGATTGGGGTGTGTTTGTGTTTGGCCGAATGACTGAACAAGTTGGGTTTGTGAAACCGTTGGTGAATGGATGGTTTCCAAATGATATTGGGTATGGTTTTGTTATTGGAGAGTTGTTGAAAGCCAAAGGTGTTACCCTATCTAAGCCAAGACCCATCCAAAATCAAAACTACCTCTTTAGAACTCCAACCGTAGTTGATCCCTCACAAGCAACCACCCAAAAGCGAAAATCGGCAAACCCGTCAAACTTATCCTTATCCAAGAAATTCCTTTCTATCCGAGAACCTAGTCATGGAGGGTCCAACACCCACGGGAGAGCAAGTGATGATGCGTGTAGCCACCCCTTTGTTACCTTACCCGCACCCATAGTCAACTCCTCAAACCCGAATGAAGATGAAGTGGGAGTTCTAAGCAAGGTTGGGAGTGTGGATGACATTCCTACGTATGGGGCGGATAGTGAGTCGTTGAAGGAGCTTGATCGAGTTACGTTTAGGAGAAGTTGGAGATTGAGTGATCACCATTCGGTTGCTACAACCATAGGACCGAACACTCTTGAGTTAGAGGAATTTGCTCTAACATGGTTAGGCACACAAACCTTGCCACCGCTATGAGGCTATCGGTGATCAATGAATGTTTTATCAAGTTGCCAATAGTCGGGGTAGGAAAGTAGCACAAGTGGTTACCGAAGTTGCCGTTGAGACGATGATGGATTTGCTCGTGATGACATTGCCCGAGCTATGGTTCTTTCGAGAGAAGAAGCTCACGGTACACCGGGGGAAGTATCAACTTTGAAGGAGACCGATGGTGGAAGTCTAAAAGAGTTGGATGCATTTCCTTCAAATATTGGAGAAGACAATCTTAGTTTTGATGCTATCTCTCCACACACGGCTACGGATGTGACGAATTCGGTAAATGAAAATTTGGAGAATGATCAAGTCACACTTAATCCTACAACATTGGTGATTGAAGAAAATGTTGGTAATTTAAATGAGCATGAAAGCCGTGAGAATGCTCAAGAAGGTGTGATGCAAGTTGAATTGTCCCCGTTATCTTTAAGTTGTGCCGAGCAGATTAACACTGCCATTGCCGAACAAATTGATCCTACTTTTGAAGAGCCTTTGTATCTTGAGAACACACCACATGTGGAAGCACCGGAGCCGGCTGACTCTACAATGCCGAGACCATCACATGAGCCACATAAGGAGGTACATTCTCATTCCATTGATGTTGATGCTTTAAGGGAAAATATTGTTGGAGATGTACGCAGGGAACTCCAAGAAATGAGAGGAGATGTTTCCCAAGAGTTAGAGAAAGTTCAACACCGATTTGATAATGTTGATACCAAATTAGATGATTTTCACAAAGGTGTATATGAAAGGGCCGAATCTTTGTTACTTGGCCAAGGATCAATGTAAGGTGATATAGCTATGATGACCACCAAACAAGAAGAACACAACCGGGAAGTCTTGAAGATGTTCCTCGAATTGGGAAAGAAAGGAACCGATTGCGAATCAAGGCTACGGTTGGTAGAAAATCGGTTGAAAGCTCTACTTCATCAAACCGACGTGAACAATGATCTACTAGTCGGAGTTCAAAAGAGCCAACTCGAAGCTTCGGCAAGTTTTCAAAATTATGTTGATGCTGCCGAAAAGGGGGAAAGGGCACGGGGAGCTCCAAGCCATTTGGTAAATCACTTGATTGGACCGTCTTCACAATGGCCACTAGTTGAGCTTGTTCAACCTCCAGGAGCACCAAGAGGAATCTCGCCTATACCAAAGGTTACGTTCAAGGCCGAGGAAGTGGAAGAATTATGGAGTATCTTGTGACTGCTCAGAGTTCGGATTTGCCAAGCCATCAAGAATGCCCAAGGTCATCACCTTCAAGATCAATCTATGATGAGAACAAGATGAAACTTGTACGTGAGTTGGAGACTTTCTTCGGGCACTCAAGCAATGAGATGGTAGATGGAAGATCATTTGAAGAATGCGTTGCTTGGTACGAAGCCGGAGTGTTGCGGGGCGATAATATTCAAGAAACATATGGAAACTATGTAACCGAGCAAGTCACCGCACCATATCAACTCGAGGAAAGTGATCAAGACTTCAAGAAGCTAAGGGCACATGTGAATGCCTTAATCAGCAAGAGGTAAAAATGATGTCTCTCATTTTTTTTTTTGGTGTACATAATCCTAGCTAGCTTGTTCGAATTATATTTTTTGGTACAAAATACAAAGTTGCTAGCTTACGGCTTATCTCTTTAATTTGTCTAGTATGTTTGTTTAATTGCTTTAAAGTCTCAAGATTTTAATTGGACTTAGTAAATGCATGTGAAGAGTATAATTGAGAAAACAAAATTGAAAGGGGGAAGAAAAATTAAAAGATAAAAAAATCAATACGCAAACCCCGCGTTTTAGTCTCAATATACGTTTAGGACCATCCAGAGTTAAAATCTCTAAGTCCTAAATGTGTTAAACCCGTCAAATGGCTAGTCACAATAAAATTGGACAAAAAGATTATTTTTCAAAATTTGACATAGCCAAATGACTTGGGTATAAGTTTCGGCATCATCAAAAAGGGGGAAATTGTTAGGAATATTTTGTATAAGTTTTGATGAGCCAAATGTATTTTGTAGACCCCAATTTTATTTTGTTTGAGTCAGTTCTGGTTCACAAAGTATGGTGCACCACTGGCATGAAGCCTACGTGAAAGCTTTATTGAAGGAAGAATAAATGAAAGCAGGATCATAGCTTAACACATTTATGAAGCATTCAAGTCATCAAAGGTCGAGATGGACGAGGTGGAAGAAGACTTGTTGAAGCACACTTGATACTTGATGGTCTATAGTTCAAACTGACAAGCTATGGTGAAGTGATATTGGGAGGTGATATCATGAAGTATATCGAGTAGAGCTATCATGAAGAAATAGTTTTTATAACATGATATTGTGTGCTATTGGATGATGACGTCACAACGTGATATGCTTCTACCGGAATTATGAAACTCACGTGAAGAGGTTAACTAGCTAAGTTGGAAGAAGCTTTGCAAAGCAACTAAAGGATACATGGCTCAACTCTCACTTGAAGCAATTTTTATGAAGACATGATAACAAGTTCATGATACTAGCTTAACATGATACCAGTTCATGATACTAGATGGACATGATATACTATCGGGATATGACATCAATTGTTAGACAGAAAGTTTTTTAGAAGCTCTGTTTTTGCGAAGGAAGACGAAGGAGTTGAAGAAGCTGATACACGAAGGAAATCTTTTATATACTCAAGCAAGAATCAGCAGATAAATTATTTGATCAACTTGGCACATCAGATCAATAATTCAACAAAAGTCATGCCTGAGAATAATTCAAATTTGGAGACTACACATTCCAAGAAAAGCTTTGTTAGATTAATGGCAAGATTATTCAAATCTTCTAACAGACGGCGAAATGACTTTGCAGACCAAGTTGGCAAAATTATTTGATCAACTACAATTCAAAATGGACGATCAAGATCGAAAGTTGATCAACGGGCAAATAGCTTTCATTGGCTATAAAATGCCCAAGCAGACTTGAAGACAAATACTTGAACAACACGAAGAAAATTATCCAATCAAACATCAAGTGATATATTGAGCTATATACGATAGAATTCAAGTCTGAGAGAAGAAATCTTTGTATTTCACTGTAAACCTTCTACTGAATGTAGAAAAGGGGTAGAGTAACTAGAGAGAGTGAAAAACCCAGTTTGAGTGTAGCTTTGTGCGTAGCACTCGGTTGTAAAGGGCAGAGTAACAAGAGGAGCTTGTGAAAACCCGGTGAGAGTGTAGCTTTGTGCGTAGTTCTCATGGTGTAGGAGTACA